GAGGCCCTGAGTGAGGCCCAGAGGTGGAAGTCGTGGGTGGACTCATGGTGCAGGCCCTGGGGTGGGCATTTAGAGTGGTATCGTAGGAGCTCATCTGACAGGCCTCAGCTCAGAGTGGCCTCCAGGAAGCGCACCCTGAGCCCCCCTGCACCGTGTTAAGTGCCCACAGCCTCTTTTACTGTCTCGACCATACGCTGACTTAGGATAGCGGCTCCTGAGCCATCGTAGCCTGGTGGTTGCAGGAATCAGCCAGCTTTCCCTGTAAGGGGCCAGGCAGTCAGTATTTTAGGCTTTGTGGGCCATACGGTCCCTGTTGTAACTACTCAACTACTCAACTGTTATAGTTAAAGCAGCCATGGACAATACACAAAGAAATGAGCGTGGCTGCGTCCAATAAAACTTTATTTATGGAAATTTACAGTCAAATTACTGAAATTACTGAAATTTGACTCTCGTATAATTTTCATGTGTCACAAAATATTCTTGCTTTGATTTTTTTCCCCCAGCCATTTAAAAATGGAAAAGCCGTTCTTAGCTTGTGGGCTATACACCCAGAAATAGGTGGCCGGTCAGATGTGGCCCATGGGTTATAGTTTGCTGGCGCCTGGGTTAGAGCAAGGCCCCTGGAGCCAGACCGCCTGGCTCTGCTGTGTGACCTTCGGGAAATGCCACACGTTTCTGTGCTTCAGATTTCTCATCTGTAAAATGGGGATGATAATGTTAATACTTTGGGGATGTAAAATGGTGCAGCTGCTTGGGGAAAATGGCTTTTAGCAGTTCTTCAAAAGGTTAACCATAGAGTTACCATATGACCCAGCAATTCCATCCCAAGGTATGTACCCAAGAGTAATAAAAACACACATTTACACACAAAAGTTATTCATAACAACCAAAAAGTGGGAACAGCCCAAATGTCCATCAATTGATGAATGGATAAAATGGTCTAGCCGTACAATGGAATATTATTCAGCCATAAAAAGGAATGCAGTACTGATTCATGTATAACATGGAAGAATCTTGAAAACATTACGTTAAGTGAACGAAGCCAGACACAAAAGGCCATATATCATATGATTCCATTTATATGAAATGTTCAG